CATGTACCTGCGTGCTCATTGTCATGTGGGCTGGGCTCAGAGTGCTGACCCTCCAGCTGACCTGAGGTGACCCATCTCCACCAACCTGCCAGGCCTCCTCAACAGCCACTCCCCTCACCCCACTGGGCTACCAGACAGCCCACATCTGGGCCAGTCTGCTTGGTCCTTGGTATGACAACTCCTTCCTCTCACCACTGCCCTCCACAGTAGTGGTCAAAATGCCAGATCCTGGCAGATGGGCCTTCTCAGCCCTGAAGAAGGGGTTGAAGTTCTCTAAGGTCTGAGAAGGGCCACCTACATCTAAACGTCTCACCCAGTTTAGCCATGTGCCTAAGTACGTGCAGTGAGCCCCACAGAAATGTACACCAGGAAATGAGGTAACTCCCCACCTGCCGCAAGCTGGGTTCTGATCCTGCCAGGAGTCTGCATTGACAGTCACTTCTACGTTCTAAGCAAGTGGCCAAGCAGCGTCTATGATGAGCCTGCTTGATTCGTGACGCGGGTTCTCATCCCAGCACTTACCCAGCCCTGTTTGTGTGAGAGCAGGCTGGAGTCCACCGTGTATGAGACCCTCTCGCTGAAGCTTGCCCACGAGGCCCTTTATTTGGTTATCGTTTTAGCTGAATTTAAATGCGATTCCAACACTGCCTTTATGAAAGGGTGTGCAATCCGAGGTATTCACAAATGCTGGTTGCCTTTTTTGAAGGGCTCTCGTTGGGTATTGTTTTAGCTGGATTTAAGTGAGCCTATGATAAAACTGCTTCTACTTGATGGTATATAGTCCCAGATGTTCATGGATCCCAACAGATGGCCTCTCCCCGCCCCCTGGTCACCACCACACTACCGAAATGGAGTCTTGCTTGCTCAGTGACACTTCTAGCTAGGACTTCATGGGGATTGGCAGGAATGAGAAGTAGGAAGTGTCCTACCTCCTCCCACAAGTCTGGGTTTTACGCTTAAGTTGAATGAAAGGAGAGCAGAGGCGTGGGGAGGAAGGGTTAAGGCTGAAACATGCTGTGGTGTCTAAAGGACATTTTCCATGCAAGTCTGGTTTCAACTCTCTGGGCTCGTCTTAAAGTGTGGGAAGAGGTCCAGAGCCCGGAAGGTCAGTGGGGAGGAAGAAAGGGGGTGGTGGGTGGACCTAGAGGTGTTTTCCAGAGCTGTGGCTTTAAGCACTATGGGTTCTGGACTGGCTACCGTGATGGGACTTCCGGCCCCTGTTGCCATGGTTTCCTGAAATAAGCTCATCTCCTGGAAGAACATTCCCCTTTCTCCTTTGTCCCTGGACTGCTGTGGAGCAGGACTGGAAGAGCAGGGCTCCGGGATGCATCCCGGGTGCAGACGGGGGGCCAGGCCCGCCGTGTGAGGGAGACCAGGGTTAATAAGAACCAAGTGGCTTCACCGCCTGAGGATGAAAGCCTGGGCCCCCAGAAGTTTCGTGACTGCAGGGCCTGAGAGGTTTCTTGTTGCCTGGTGTTAGGCTCCCCTTCCCTCAGGTCAGGCACTTCCCAAGCAGTGGGGCTGGTATCTGTGGGGTGGGAGTGGGCTGGGGCCCCAGGTCCCAAAGGAAAGGAGACAGGGCTTACGTGTTGTGGTTTCTGCCCAGCCCATGCAACTGGAGCTGGGGAGACTTTATTCATCTCACAGGGGAAAGTGACAACAGGAATGAGACAAAGTGTGAAAGTGAAGGGGGGGGTAATACTGATATGAGAACAGAACAGTCTAGTACAACACTGCAGCCAGCACAAACCTAAGGGAGGAGATGGCCCGTCATCACTGACCCTGGAGGTGAAGCACGCCCGGGTTTCTTCTCTCGTCAGACTCAAAGAAGGAAAACTTGGGACTCCGGAGGACCAAGATGGAGTGAGAGGGTCAACACCGATGGACTTGCAGCGAGCACCATGGCACCCCTGCCTGGCCTGGGGAGGAGGGAGGCTACCTGGCGGGCAGACTCCCCGCTCGCGCTCCTCAGCGGGCTCTTTCCTGCCCTTCACACAACCAGCACACTGGGCCCAGCACACATGTCCCTGTACCTGAGTGCGGCCAAGGACACAGTGCAGAGGGTGGGCCAAGCCAGAAATCATTCCAGGCAGGAGACCCCGGTGCACACACGCACAGGCTTCTGGGCGCTCCACCAGCCAGAATGCCACCGACTCCCAGAGCCAGAAGTCAAGGCCAAGCGGGAAGGGGTGGGGGCATGAGATGACAGAAAGGGCTAGCAATGTGACATGGTTACTTCTCGGCTCTTTCTGCTCCTCAAAACCCCAGACCCAGGCTTTACCATCCCACGGTGGGGCCACAGGGCTGCTGCTTCCCGACTTGGCCGCACCCAAGCCAGGCTGGGCTGGCTGGCACGGTGGGTGGAGGGGACACGAGAATGCGGGAAGGCCGTGGGGGGAGGCCTGGCAGTGAGGGAGGTGCACAGGAAGGCTCTCTAAGCCCAGCTCCCCTGCTCTATCCCTGGCACTGAGCGCAAGGAGTCAGGCTTTGGGGAGACCCTGCAATCACGACCCAGCCTGGCCCACTTCCCCAAGCAGCTTTCTCTGATCTCCCCTTGGCCCCTCCTCAGCCAGCAGGCCCCACGCCCAGGGGCAGAGGAGCTGGAAGGCAGTCCTGAGCCAGGGGGCGCTGGGGTCTCATCAGCCAGGCCCCTGTCCCTCATGGGACATGAGATGAGGTGATACCATGGATGGTGACTAAGGCCCCAAAGTCCCTGCCTCTCTGCCTCCCCAGAAACCTTGCAGCCAGGCCAGCCCCAGGGAGCAGAGCCTGTGTAAACATGCCCAGGAGGGGAGGAGGGGTTGCTACATATGAAAAACAGTTAAAAATAAATTAAAAAGCACCGCTATGTCCTGTGGTGTCACCACAGGCCTGAGGGCTCAGCTCGGGAAGGGTGAGTGCTGGGGTTGTCCGCTGGGGGTCAGCCCTCTCCCTCGCACACAGCAAGCGGGGTTAGGGCTTCGCCCTGCTTCCTTCGCCCTGGAGGGCTCCGGGGAAGGAGCCTGTGGGTTAGAGCCTCTTTCCAGGACTCCGAAATCAGGACCAGCTCCCTGTCACGTCTCTTCCCTTCACCCTGTCATCCTGGGAAGTTCCCAGAGGCAGCCAAGGCCACGCCCCTGCTGATGAGTGGCCACATCAAGACCCAGAAGGGACCCTGTTTCAGCCTCACACCTCCCAAGGGGAGCCTGTGCGGGAACATGGGGACCACACCATCCCCACTCCCAGGAAGCTGAGGCAGGATGGCGAGTCAGGGGTCCCCATACCCCACAAGGAACTGGTGAGGCAGGGACTGACCGGCTGCCTCCCGTCGCCTCTGGCGGAGCCCTGCTGGGCCTGGCTCTGGGCCGAGAGCCACTGGGTGGAAGAGCTGCCAGCCTCTGGCGCCTTCCCTGCCGGGCACTCTCATCCGCAGGGGCATCCCCGGCTCCTCCCTCCCTTCCTCCTCCACTGCTTGGAAGGCACCGTTGGCCTCCCTGGCAGGCCCAGAGCTGCACTGTGTCTGATCCACTCTACTCCACCCCTCCGGTGACCCAGCAGCTGCAAAGGGTGTGGAGTTTGCCTCTGGTCTGCAGGAAGAGTGAAGACTCAGGGAGGATCCAAAGTGGCGTTTCTCCTCCTCAGCCACAAGGACCCTCTCCTGGCCCAGCCTGGCTCTGGGAGACTTAGAACTTCTGTATATCCCAAAGCATCTCAGTGGACTTCTCCCTAGCACAAACTCTCCCTACTTCAGATACTGCAAACTGGCATTGTCTTTCCCCTGTAATGGGTTTTTAAATTTTTAGAACTGATCGCCAACATTTAAAAATCAGATTTCATGTAAAAATTCAGAATTCTGGCCTCTGAACTATCAGACAATCTGGTAACACAGGGCTGGCATCGTGAGAACAGCTGAGCAGCAGCAGCCCTTTAACAGGGTATGTCCTCTTTAGTTAGCCACAGTTCCCACCCAGCCCTGCAGTCCTCCTTTTCATCACCTGCTGGCCCTGTGGACATTTGAGTTCACAACCTAGTTCTGGTCTTCCCTTATGCAGGTCCCCAGCCCCTCTGCAGCCCTACTGAGAGCTGCTCTGGCCAACTCAGCCTCTCTCAGCAAACCCTTAATGGGCATCTCGTCCATTTGCCTTTCCACAATCTCGATCCTCCCTCCAGCTTCCTGACAATTACCAACTAGTCTTCGCCGTAGGGGACTCTCTACCCCTCAAGGCAGCCTGACCCTAAACTCCCTCCCACATCCCTTTCTCACTTACACCCCCAAGTTCTCGGGCTCTGTCCCTCCTCGGTGGTCATGCCACACCCTTGCCCTACACCTCCCAGCTCTGCCGATCTTTCTCCACGTCCTCTCACTTCCCCACCAGGTCTCTCACGCCGATGGTGGCTGTGGGGGACCCAGCTGCTCAGGTTCTGAAGAACTGCCGCGAGCAGTGACAGGCCTGACTGTCACTGCAACCTCCAAGCTAAAATGGGTGATTTCAGGAGGGGAGGCAGGTCTGGGGCACACATATCCTGGTCTGGTCTTGATTTCCCCAGCAGAACGCACTCTTGGCATTGCCAGGGGAAGACCCAGGCCTGAGAATTCCATCCCAGCCACGGCTCTGCGGCTGGTGCCCAGATCCATGCAATGCCCACAGTCATGGTGACCCCAGCACAACTCTGGGCCCTCCGCAAATCCCAGACCCTTCACGGGGAGTCCCTGGGCTCCAGCAATGGGCAGAGGTGGGACTGGGCAAACAGACCCGTCAGGGGCCTGGGAACCCTGTGCCCAGGGGTGCTCCCCTGGGCCCTCCCGTAGCGCACCCCCAGCCTGGAGTGCTCCAGCAGGCAGCGTCAGCCCACACAGCACTGCCTGGCTGGCCACAGGGCTGACACCTCTCCTGGGCCATGGGCTCCTGCTTGGAGGCAGACAGGGCCTGTGCCGAGTCCTGATTTATGGGCCACGCAGACCTTTCTCAGGACGATTCCTACCCAGCTTCCCTTTCCCTGGGTCAAGATTCTGCCGGGGCAGGCAGAACTGGAGAAACATCTCCATTCCCCAGCCCCCGCCCCAGGCCTGGAAAGGCTGGGACATTTCCCACAGACAGGATGCACCCAAACCCCAGAGAAACACCAGCGGCAGAGGCACCAGCAGAACCAGCAACCCCTCCTCACCCAGACCCGTGGCACATTGATCTCCTACACACTGGCCTTCGGGCCCTCAGCAGATTCATTTGTTTTACATTTTCCCCAAATATCTTAATCTTCAGTTGTAGAGTTAAAACTCCAAATAAACTACTAACTGCCTCTCGGCCCAAAGTTAGGGAGCTCAGCTGGGCGGGATGGGCGGCAGCCTGGGGGGCTAAGCCGGAACACACTCTCCCTGCGGCCGCTCGCCCTGCCCCATCACCAGCCTCTCTGCCCTGCCAGGGAAGCCGGTTCCAGCAGGTGCATCCTGGCCCCCGGGGGCAGGTGAGGCCCGGGCTGCTGGCACCTGCCTCACACCCGGATCTGGTACCCGTTGAGGTCTGGCATGGCTTTGGGCTCCGAAGGCTTCTTCTCACCTGAGGGCCTGCAGGGAAGAAGAGAGCAGAGCAGGGGGACAGTGAGTGGGCCTCAGAGAGATGGGGAAAGGAGCAGGCAGTGGCTGTCCCCCGCACCCTCAGAGCTTCCCCCTCCATTCTCCAAGGGCCCCTGCAATGCAGCAGTGGAGCGCATGTGACAGTGTTTCTGGAACCCCCAGCCTGCCTATGCTCCCGAACGCGGCCCCTGCTCTCGCAGGCTCCAGCCCTCCAGTGCAGGTTAGCTGACCCGGCTGTAGTCGGTGGGTAACAGCTTAAAGCATAAATCTCTCCAAGGGGAATCTGTTGCCTACAAAAGCCTCCTAGATCAAAGGCAGTGATTATGGGTGTGTATTTTGGTGCCAGAGGCCTATTGGATACCCCCTAATTCATACCAGAGAGGTGGCTCCTAAATGACAATTATATTTAAAGCAAGAGTCAGACTGATATGTAGGAGATGAAATCAGAGGAGGCGGCCTGGTATTTTAACAGCTTGGTTTTGCCATCAAGATACAGACAAAAACCACAGACTCTTGAAAGCCATCTACCCAGCTGCCACCTAATATTCGAACCCTCCCCCATGACACTGCTGGGAGAAGTCACTGCCTCACGGAGGCCTCATCCCTGCCGCCGTCCCTCCTGCATAACCCCCGCTGCCACATGATTTGCACCCGCCGTATGGACCCTGTTTGTCCGGCACCAGGGCTCCACGCAGGGTAACCAGTGGGCCCTGAGGGTTGTCTTCTCCGGGAAATGGGACTGCCTTGTTGTGGGAGATGTCCACGTATAAACCCTCAAACCTCCCATCCCAAATCATCTCCCTTGGGTGGGAGCAAAGAAGAGGGAAGGGTGGGAGGGAGAAGAGCTGGGTACAGAAAAAGAGAGACCCAGAAGATGAGAAGAAAGGAAAAAGGTTTCCTCAGACCCACCCAGACACCATCTCGTTTCTCACCGTCTTTCGCTGCGACTGTTCCTGCGGTGGGGGCTGGACTGGCCCCGCTGCGGGGAGGAAACATCCTTCTTCCGGTCCTTGGTGGGAGAGGGCGGACCTGTCCCTTTGCCAATCTAGGTGGAGAGGAGGCAGCAAGAGCATCACTCTGGGGCTGCACCAAAGGAGCCAGGTGGCCCCAGAGGCTGCCCTAGGCAGGACCCAGAAAGCCTCAAGCAACGTTCTGTCCTGTCTCTGGGTCGTTCCAAACCTACGTCCCAGGCAGGAACTCCTGCCCCCTCAGCAGGGCTGCCCAATCCCCGCGGGACTCTGAAAGGAGTGTGGAAGTGGGGGAGTCACTGAGCTGTGACGGTACCATACAGAGCCCTCAAGAAAAGGCCCATTTACCCACACCAGGTAAACGTGCCAGTTGGGGAAGTGGCCCACGGTGAGCTTTGGGCTGGGATCCCACCAACCCCAAAGGGGACACTAGTTATCTCCAGCCAATCAGAAGTCAGATTGGTAGCTCCAGCTACCAATGAGAAAAACAAATGAATCATCCTCTTTGTGGCATGGTCAGCTTGACCTGAGTTTTCAAAACATGGGGTGCACCATGGGAGTGCTGGAGGGGGGCAAATAACATGGGGAGTCTTTAGCACTAGACAGGTCAGGAATTATGGTGCTAGACTAGGGTAACACTAGAGTTGGCTCCAACTCTAGATCCAGCCCAGTGCCTTGAAGACACAATAATATTCTGAGCAGCAAAAGCCAGGGTGCTGGGCCACCCAGAGCTAGGCGGGGAGGACCAGCTCAGGAGAAGAGAGCAGCCTCTCTCCTGCAGGGCTGCTGCAGCCCGCTTCTGCCCTGGGGGGAGGCAGGGCTAGGGCAGCCCTAGCTGCCTGGATTCCCCATCAGGAGGCTGAGCTCCAGCCGGACCTGCTTCTCACTGCCTAAGAGCTAGACGCTGGGCTTGCTGCCTGGAAATGGAGCTGCCACCTACTGCCGGCTGGCCTCCCAGGCTGCCGGGAGAAATATTGCGTGGAGAGCGCAGAGGTTAGTGGGTGAGGCAGAGGCACCAGACTGCCTGGAGGGGCAGAGTCACAGCCTAGCAGTCACCGAGCAACAGGGAGGAAACACCCAGGGGGTCCTGGCCCTCTCCCCAGGGGAGCACTCCCCACCATCCAGGCGGATGCAGGGAGAGGTCAGCATTCTGCCTGAACAGCCCAGCCCAACTGTTCTGGGTACAACACCTCCCTCCCTAGACTTCTGCGCATCCGTAGGGGGAAAGAGGGAGAAGAAAGTACCATACCACCCTCATTGTCTTCCCCACAGTCTCCTTTCCTGTTTCTTCTAGCCTCCTCCTAGTGCCCTATCGGATGCAGGTGGCCAAGGGGCTCCAGAGTCAGGTGCATACGCAGGAGGAGGCTGGCGCAGGCTGCCAGCCACCCACCCCGCCATTCCCTCCAGCCAGGCCACGATTTCCCACCAGCAGACCTGATTCCCAAGTCCCCCCACCCAGCTGTCTCCGTGTGTCCAACACCTACCACTGTCCCAGCCCAGCTCACCCAGTCTCCCGGCCCTACTCTGCCCACCTGAGGGGACCACCAACAATCAGGACTTTGGGCAGGGCCTGACCCAGGGCATAAGTGTCCACCTCATCTCCCTTCCTCCTCACTCCACCTCTGCTGGGCCCGGCATGGGATGCAGTTGCAGACGGCCCCCCACCACGCCCCGGCAGCTGAAAGCCCTGACCAGACCTTGAGCCGCATGTCGCGGGCGTGGCGCTCCAGCTCCTTGCGGAAGTCGTCGCGGCCCAGCCTCTCCACGTCCAGCACCGAGTGCTTCCACTCGATCTGCTCCACGCTGTGCGGGTCGTGCGACACGCTCTGGCCCAGCTTCACCTTCTTGAGCACGTGCCAGCAGCGGCCGTAGGCGGCCTCGTAGTCCAGCACGAGGTCGCTGAGCGTGCGGAAGGCCGGCGGCTTGTACATCAGGTCCTCGCGCCGGCTCATGCCCAGCGCGCCGTAGCGGCCCCCGAAGTTCACCCCCAGCACGATGTGGCGGAAGTAGTTCCCTGAGAAGTAGGTCTTGAAGCTAATGGGGAAGCGTTCCAGGGTGGGCATGCTGTTGGTGAGGTAACTGGCCAGGCCCCGAGCTAAGGAAAGCGCCAGCAGAGGCGTGGGGCTAGCGCACCGGATGGGACAGGGACGCCCCTGCAGCGCCAGCGCCGGGGGCAGACACCCCGCCCCACTCACTTCCACATTCCTGCCATCCAGCATCCAGCCTGGTATACAGCAGGTGCTCAAAAAACGGAACCTCTAATAGGCACAAGGCTCCCAGTGCCTCGTGGCTGCTGCTATCATGTCAAGCAGGGCTCACGAAGTCACAAAATCACCGAACCTAAGGCACTGGCCCCTTTGCCTGTGTCCCTCCCTCCAGCCCCTCCTCCGCGGTGGCGCACACACTCAGCCTTTCATACCCTCGGACACATCCTCACAGATGCACGCGATTCTGCTCAGCCTCTCCCACCACGACCCTCCAGCCTCAGACTGCTGGTCTGAGGTCCCACCGACCTCCCTGGCCACCTGGGTTCCCCTGGCACCCCTGCACCCGCTCTTCCCTCAGGGCCGCTGTCTTCGCTGGCCTCCCTCTCCAAAGCAAGTCTGCTGCCGTTTCCTCCACGACACTCAGCATAACCTGCGTTTCACCTACTTCTGGGTTTACGGATTTAGAATGTAGATGTCCTGAGGACACAGACCTCACCTGTCTGTTCTTCGCTCTTTCTCCAGGGCCCAGCAGAGCCAGACATAATAGTTACTCAGTGAAACTCTTCTTGCACAGATAGGTTGGAGATGAATGGATGACGCATGGAGCCATACCATGTAGAGACACTGTGCTTAAGTGTCTTAACAGTAGTCCCCAACCTTTCTGGCACCAGGGACTAGTTTCATGGAAGACAATTTTTCCACGGTGGGGGGAGAGACGGGGGATGGTTTCGGGATGATTCAAGTGCATTACATTTATTGTGCAGTCAAACCTCTCTGCTAATGATAATGATAATCTGTATTTGCAGCCACTCCCCAGCGCTAGCATCACCGCCTCAGCTCCACCTCAGATCATCAGGCATTAGATCCTCACAAGGAGTGCGCAACCTAGATCCCTCGCATGCGCAGTTTACAGCAGGGCTCCCGCTCCTATGAGAATCTAATGCTGCTGCTAATCTGCCAGGAGGCGGAGCTTATGCGGTGATTCGAGTGATGGGGAGCGGCTGTAAATACAGATGAAGCGTCCCTTCCTCATTACTCACATCCTGCTGTGCTGCCCAGTTCCTAACAGGCCACAGACTGGTACCTGGGGTTTGGGGACCACAGGTCTTACATGCACGGGCTCGTTCCACTGTTCTGACAACTCTGAGCAACAGGCACCGCCATTATCCCCCCCACCCCGGCAGAGCAAGGAGATGACCAAGGCTCAGAAATGTTAAGGAACTTACTTGGGGGCCACACAAGTGAGTAAGTGGCAGAACCAGGATTCGAGTCCAGGTTGGCCTGACCCCAAAGTCTGTGCTGTCAGACACCACGCCATGTTCCCCGCAGTGCTAAAGTCATTCCACGATGCTTACTGAGCCGGATTCCTTGTGAGTCATGAGGGATACAGAGATGAGAAATGCACCACCCTGCCCTGTGGAGGCTGAGTGCAGTGGGGACAAGACATGGGAACAAATGCAGTACAGGGCCACTGTATGCGGTGTCACTGCTGTGGGGACACTAGGGAGGAGCCCCTCACCTACGTGGGGGTTGCTCCTGTTTTCTTCCTGCTCACAAGCCACCAGGTGGCCCCTGCATGGACTCCTTGTTCCGACATGACCCCCCGTCGCCCTCCTGGCCCTTTCCTAATTTGTGCTCCTCCGGTCCTTAGCTGGGTGCTGCCTGCCCCAGGGGGACAGGAGGATGTTTAAAAGCTGGTAGGGGAGATGGGAGGTTTGAGAAGAGATGAAACAGGATTGGCCTTGAGTTGGTAAAGCTAAGTAATGGCCACATGGGAATTCATTGTATTGTTCTATGTTGTATACATATGAATTTTTGTGTAACACGATACCTGAAAAAAAAAAAGGCAGTGCTCAGGCACTGACCACTTAAGACAGAGACCTGGCCATGAGCATTTTCCCTCTCTCCCTCTGCTGTGATCAGGGGAGGGCAGCCTCTCCTGGGGGCTCGTCTGTCCCCCGGCCACCCTGGTGACCCAGCTACAGGCCCCACTTCTGTCCTTCGGGTAGGAGTACCCAGGCAGCCCTGTTGGTGCTTTTTAAAGGCAGTTCTGCTTTAAAGATCCCGTTCGTCATCTCCACAAATCAACATGTCCTGGAAATGCCAACATCTGGGCATCGCAACTGTGTCTGCCAGTGTTTGGTTCTTGGAAATGGTACAACAGCCTTTGTAAGACAGTGTGCCCCAATTCGGGGTTCAGAGAACAGGGTCATTGTGTCCATGTGACTCGAAAGAGCTGCCCAGCAAGCCCGGGAAAGTGGCAACTGAGGCACAGGGTACTGGGCCCCTCACCTCCCCCACCTTGGGGCCAGGCAGACAACTGCCTGAGCTGGGAGCCCTGGAGCTCCTTCAGCCCTCTCCTTCCAAGCAGGAAGCCGAGGCCCAGAGGGGCTGGTGGCTGGCCTGGCCCCCTCCCCAGGCCTCCCGGGGGAGGAAGGATACATTCCCAGGATCACGGCTTCCAGGCATTTGATTGGCAGAGCCTCTTTGGTCATTTCCTTGGCCAGGTCCATCAGCCTGTGGGAAAGGGAGGCAGAACTGAGGACAGCGCCTCCAGCCACTTCCGGTGGGAGAGTGTGGGGAGGAGGGGGCAGGGTGGACTAGACTTGCTAGCACAGAGGCCCCTCGCCGCCCCCACCCCCTAGCTGCTCTCAGCTCAGACCCAGTACCACCCCCACCAGCCCCCCAGCCCACCCTGTGGGGGGGGAAGAGGCAGCCCCTGGTAACAGGAAGGAGGCCACTCCCCCTCACTTCCTCCTCCCTGCCTGGCTCCTGATCCACAGCTCTCTGGGGGAGGGGAGCACCCTGTCGGGGGTGAAGGGGGGACCTTGACAGCCACTGGGCTGGGGCCTTCTGTGAGGGCAGTGGGAGAAGGTGGGGACCTCAGCGTTGACCTCTTCCCTTCTGGAATGCCTCTGTGGACACCCCTGACCCCACCATGGCTTCTGGGAAGAGCTTGTTAATTGATTGTGGACTCCCCTCCCCCGCAGCGGCAGGGCCTGCTGTGGGATCTCCGGGGATAGCTGCCTGGTGACTCCCCATCCTGCTCCTGCGGGCTGCTCCTGAGGGCTGGTTCCTCCCTCCTCGCCAAATGCTGCCCCAACCTGAGGATTCAGCCGGGCCACCGGCTTTGGCTGGAAGGGGCCGGACTCCTCCCCACCACGGGAGGCTGGAGTGGCCCCCAGCACACAGTAGCCGCAAGACAGCAAGAGCACTGGAGTTAGTGAGGTTGGACTCCACCCAGGGCCGTGGAGAAGGAGTAATTAAGTAATTTTGCTAATAAGCCATTTAAAGAATTTTTCACAAGAAAGCAAACATAGATTATGTGTGGAGCAAGATGTAAAACTCACATAAATTTTTAAAACCTGGGTGAGTCTTAAGCCTGGGGGCATCTTTGGGCTGAGCCCCCAGGCCCCAGGCATTCACTCCTCACTCTGCTCTGCCCACGGGGCTTCATGGGCAGAAACTGTGCACAGCCAGCAAATCCAGCCAGGGGTCTACACGCTCGGGCAGGTGGGCTAGGAAGTGAGAGATGCAACCTTCCGGTGGGGTCCCTGCTGCTCAGACACTGGGCCTTCTGCTAAATGACCAGAAAAGAGTCCAGTAAGGCAGACGGGGTGACGGGGCAGGTCCCCGGCGAGGGGAGTGCACAGGCAGCCGCGGGAACAGAGAAGGGGAAGGGCTCTCTCCTGCTCTGCTTCTCAGTAAAAACAATGATCTGAGGCTCAGCCAGTCTACCTGGGGCCACCCTCTCTTCTCACCAAGGCAAACTTGGCGGGGGGGCTCTCCCCTAGCCTGCTAGCTTAGCATGGATGTCGGGGTTTTCTTTTCATCAAGGTAGCCCTGGCTGTTCCTCTCACCAGATTTTCCTCCGTGTGACACCCCAGGTGGTACCTGTCCCCAGGGTGGTACCTGCTACCATGTTGGGCTTCCCTTGGCGAGTCCCTGCCTGACCCATAAGCTTCCACGCAAGTTAACACCAGAGGCGCCCCCAAGAGGCTGCAACCCAGCCTGGGCAGAGGACCCGCCACCCCATACTCACCCTGTCAGAGGTCTGCTCTTCTTAATTTCAAAGAACTGTGTCCCTGTGTGATTGTACCTGCAGGCGCCAGTTAAGGGCTTCCTGGCTTGGGTGGGAGGAGGTTGTCCCTCTCTCCCTGGCCACCCAGCACTCCCAGTAGTGCAGGGTGGGTTAGGACCCCAAAAGTGGCTCCTGCAAGACACCTTGGAGGGTGCTCAAGACCCATGTCTCCTGGCAGGGAAAGGAGGCTCCTTCTCCGTCCTTCGTCCTCCTCTTCCTTGGCGTCACCCCTCTTCCCCCCTGGCCTCCCTTCCCAGGCAGCCAGCCCAGCCAGGGAAGAGGCTGTGGCTTGGGAACATCTCTCCATAGCATATCATTTCCCGACCAGCTGAGAAGCAACATGGACTGCGGGGAGAAGGCTGGGGGTGGAGGTCCAATGCGGCCTCTAATTGCTGGGTGCTCCTGAGCCAGCCACCTCCCCTTGCTGGGCCACAATTGTCCTGTTCGCAAAGGGAGAGGCTGGACCCACCTTTCAGTCGTCATCCTGGCCTTCCGCCCACCCAGGACCCAGGCCTAGTTCTCCCACCTCTGACCTCGTCTGCAGACGGGAGGATGAGGACGAGGACCCAGGGGCAGGGCACAGGGGCTGGAGGGGCCCAGAGCAGGGACACAGGGGAATCTGGACTCGGCGGAGCCCAGCTCTTTCCACGCTGGGCAACCAGCCTCTTGCCGGGAAGAAAAAGGAGAAGAACCAGGAGATATTTCCAAGATGCGGAAGTTAGCTCCTGGAGCACAAAATCCTTTTTCTCCTCCATCCCCCCTATTTTAAACCCAGTCTTTTAACAGCCTAAGGCCGTTCCCTCTTCCCCTCTGCTACGGCTGGATGAAGACACAGGAGCTCTTGGCTTGGCCACCCACCAGAAGTCGCTCAGGACACCTGTCCCTCTCTTTGTCCCATCACATGGCGGGAGGATGGAGTGGGCCCAGCACTCACTGGACAAAATTCCTCCAATACTAGGGGGCACACAGGCCGTGTCCCACAGCAGTAGGGAGCACAGAGCTGCTGTGTGAATGGCGCCCCTGGAGTTGGGGGATGAGGTGGCTCTGCTGATGCTTCTCCAGCTCTCTGGAAACAAGCCCCACTTGGCCTTTGGACCCATCACACCAGCCAGAAGGTGGCCCTGACCCTGGACCAGAGAGGATACTGCAGCTCCCTGATGTAGCGCTGCACGGCTTCCAGGCGCTCGGGGACAGGCGTAGACGGCTGGAACGTAGGCACACTCGGTATGGGAATCTGGGGACAGAGAAAGACAGAGAAAGAGCTCTGGTCACTAGAGGCGGCCACCCTGGAGCTGCCAGCCCACCAGACACCCAGGAATAGCCCCCAGAGGAGCTCCACCCTGGGGAGGGGCAACTAACTGTCCCTCTGTTGTGAGCCTCTTCCCTTGTCACCCCCTCCTTCCAGGGACTCCTGCCAGGACCCCATCCCAGCCATTCCTTCCCTCCTGGCACTTGCTGGCATTCCTAATTCAGAGCTTAGGATTCCAATGTTTTGCATCTTTAATAATTTTAGAAAAACATAGGTCGATTCACCAGCTGTTTTGAATTTTAAATAGTCATTAACTTCAAGGCTTACCAGGAATGCTAATATTGGGGTTAAGTTCCTTTGGGTTTGAAGTTCACTCTTGCTCAATGCTAGATCAAAGCTGGTTTACCTGGTGTCCCATCCTCTCAGGGTGGTGCCCTGGGCTAGGGGAGTGGTCCCAGGGGGGTATACGTATCCTCGGCAGGAAGAGTCACCCACCCAGTATCACTGGCACATTTACAGGACCTTCCAGAGCTCCAACTTCAACTGTCAAGGAGTAAGTTTGGGTAGCAGGCAGAGAGACATATTTTGGAACAAGTCTGGCTGGGGCTCTATTTGCTGGGGCCCAGCCGCTTTGGAGGGGTTCCACAGAGGCACAGGGGCCCCAGGTTCTCCTTCAACACCCCCCTTTCCCGCCAGCTCCACACCTAAGCAGTACAGGTATAAGCCGGCAGTCCTCCTCACCAAGATGCCCTTTCCAGCACCCAGCCGAGAAAGGGGGAGAAGAGCACGAGTCGGGCAGGCGCCTCCTGATGCCTGGGACTGACACGCAGGGGCTGCCAGGCTGCTGGGGCTCAGGTCAGAAGCAGTCCCCGAGGCTGTCCCTCAGCCACCATGCAGTCTCCAGGACAGAGACCACCTTGCAGGTGTGGGCCCCTCTCCAGCCAGGGGAACCCAAATCCTGGTAGTTTGGCTCCAACAAGTCAGTGAGGTACAGGAAGCCACGAGATACATCAACGGGGGACCTCCAGGGCTTCAGAACGGACTTCATTCCAGGGACAAGGCATCCATAGGGGACAGCCTTTTACATAACGTGGCTGCAGCACTGGGGCTCTGACAAGGCGGGAAGTGACACACCAGTTATCACTGTACACTCGCGTCTGGGTGCTGCTGATGGCACCTACTTGCTCCAGGGCGGAGAGGCATGAGGGAAGGGCCCCTGGTCCAGAGTGACAGCTTTGCACGAACTTCCTCCCGCTCCCTCCCTGGCGTCCCCTCCTTCCTGTCTGAGCTACCCCTGAGCAGCTGACACCTCCGTCTGGGGGAAGCTGGTTCCCCTTTCACATCACTCCCCTCCCCACACTGGCACCGCCACTTACAGTCACCAGCAGGATAAAAGCCCCAGGGGGGGACTCCTCTTCTTCCTGCCGGTGCCACGTGGGCTCCAGGCCCTCGCCTGGCCTCCCCAATGTCAAGGGCATGCAGGTGGGGAGTGGGAGAGGAATTACAGGAATTACTTAGCAATTTGCTATGAACAGCAAGGCACATCCGTGTCCAGTCACCTGACCTCCTCAGGTGGCTGTCTCTGCCAGGCATCCCCACTTGTCACTGGAACTTCAGGTAAAGACTGTAAGAACACTCTCCCACGAGATGCTCCAGACAGCGAGGGAGCTGCAGTCCAAGAACCATTCACCTAAGCTCAGCCAGAGCCCGGCCTGGGCCAGGGCCAGGCAGTACCCGCAAGAGGATCGGCACCTGCCATCCAGATAGAGGACCTGGACACAGGCTGCTCTGTGACAAGGAAGAGTCCAAAAGGGCCTGGGATTCACAAGCAGGGCCTTGGAGGCCACCATCACCAAGACAGTTCCTTGACTCACGTCATCCCACTGCAGACAGCACCTACACTTTTTTTCTGAATGTTTATTACCAGCATAGACTCATTCGCTCGAACGCAAATAAGAGAGATCCTGTACATCCAAATGCACAGGCCCACTTGAGGACCGGTCGCCTGGATTGAACCCCCCGCCTCCACTTCCAAAACAGGAGCCAGGAAATACCTTCTCACTGTTGGGGGTGGCATTAAGAGGGGTACAGTGGGAGAGAGAGTAGCAATTCTGAGCTACTCAGCTCTCAGGACAGCTCCTCCTCCACAGCCAAGGCCAAGGCCTCTCCTTGCTCCAGAAGCCGGCGTAGTCCTGAGCTCTGCTGAGACATCCCCTAGTGTCGCACATAATCAGGTGGCCTGGGGGCAGCTGGGAGAGCCCGTGGCTGGACAGTGGGCCTGAAGCAGTACGGCCTAGAGCAGTGGGGCCTACTCGCGAACTAGACCCTCACTAGCAAAATCCAGCTCTGCCATTTACAGTCTGCTGACTTTAGGGAAGCTCCTTACCTCCTCCGGGCCTCATCTGCAACATGGGCACCAACACAGAAGCAACCTCACAGCGGGAAAGGGATGCTGCAGGTCGAGGCCTCAGAACGGGGTCTGGCACGCAGCAAAGGCTCAATTCCTGTTCAGGGCATTGCTGTCAGCGCGTGCCAAAGGCCGCAGTCAGTGCATTGCTGATCCGGCAATGTGACCCTTTTGGAGATGTCCACATTCCTCCTCTGCAGCGGCTCAGTGGCCGCAGCCACGGTTAGAAGACCCTTGGCAGCTGGGGCAGGGGTCAGCGGCCACTAAGCTTTTAATAGTGGTGGCAGCTTAAAACATCAAAGAGAGACTCTTATCAAGGAGTATAACCGTTGCTGGATTTGGGATCCTTTTAGAAAATGCTACCCTATACCGTACTGGCATCACCCTTGGAAAGGCAGCTCCTCCAAAGCGCTCGTGGGGCGTTTGGCTTCACGCTCACTCCTTGCTCCGTTACTGGGTAGGGAGCAGAGGCTCACCTGATGAAGCATCACATGTTTTGTTTACATCTTTGGTCCCCAATCCCCAGGCATGGACCAGTACTGGTCTGTGGTCTGTTAGGAACCAGGTCGCACAGCAGGAAGTAAAGCGGGGGGGGGGGGGGGGGGGGGAGGAGGGGAGACAAGCAATAGAAGCTTTATCTGTATTTACAGCTGCTCCCCATCACTCGCATCACTGCCTGAGCTCCGCCTCCCCTCAGATCAGCTGCGGCATCAGATTCTCATAGGAGCACAAACCCTGCTGCAAACTGCATGTGAGGGATTTAGGTTGCACACTCCTTATGAGGATCTAATGCCTGATGATCTAGGGTGGAGCTGAGGCGGTGATGCTAGCGCTGGGGAGTGGCTGCAAATACAGATTATCATTAGCAGAGAGGTTTGGCTGCACAGAGACCATAACAAATCAATTGCTTGCAGATTCATATCAAAACCCTATCAGTGAGTGGCAAGTGACAATTAAGCTGCATCTGGTGGCAGGTTTAAAAGTCAGATTCTGACACTTATTTTAGCCCATGTGTGGCCCACCCACTATTTTATTTACCACCTCCATCCACACCTCTTTCCCACACTGCACACTTGTCTCAGTCACAGTTTTACAAGCCCACACAGTAACCCTAGCAAAAATGAATAAAAACCCAATGTCACTGGAGAGCTTTGAAAAGGGGGAAAGACCCAATGATGAGACAGCAGAAGACTCCAAGATTGCCAACACAATGAAAGCTGCATTTAAAAGAAAATATCAAAGGTCCTACTTAAATTATGGGTTCATTGCAACAGGTGATTCACATTCTCCAAGTCCGCTTTGTGTAACGTGGGGTGACTGGCTATCTAACAAAGCCATGAAAACTTCAAAACTTCTTTGCCACATGGAGACCAAGCACCCTGCATTAAAAGACAAGGCTTTGGAGTTTTGCCAAAGAAAAAAACGTGAACATGAAGAACAGAAGCAATTCTGAAGGCCACCACTTCATCGAATGTGTCTGCACTGAGAGCATCATTCTTAGCGGCTACCGCATTGCTAAAGCTAAGAAGCCTTTTACTATTGGGGAAGAGTTGATCCTGCCTGCCATGAACTTTTAGGAGAGGCTGCAGTTCAACAGGTGGCACATGTTCCTCTTTCGGCTAGCACCATAACTAGATGAATGGATGAAATAGCAGAGTATTTTTTTTTTTTGAGACAGATCTCACTCTGTTGCCTGGGCGAGAGTGCCATGGTGTCAGCCTAGCTCACAGCAACCTCAAACTCCTGGGCTCAAGTGATCCTCCTGCTTCAGCCTTTTGAGTAGCTGGGACTACAGGGGTGCACCATCATGCCCAGCTAATTTTTTTCTATTTTTAGTCATCTGGCACAGATCTCACTCTGTTGCCTGGGCGAGAGTGCCATGGTGTCAGCCTAGCTCACAGCAACCTCAAACTCCTGGGCTCAAGTGATCCTCCTGCCTCAGCCTTTTGAGTAGCTGGGACTACAGGGGTGCACCATCATGCTCAGCTAATTTTTTTCTATTTTTAGTCATCTGGCTAATTTTTTTTTTTTTCTATTTTTAGTAGAGAAAGAATCTTGCTCTTGCTCAGGCTGGTCTCTTAACTCCTGATCTCAAGCGATCCTCTCGTCTTGGCCTCCCAGAGTGCTAGAATTACAGGCGTGAGCCACCGCGCCTGGCTGATAGCAGAGGATATTGAGACACAATTGCTAGAGAGGATTAATGAGTCACTGTGGTGCACAATCCAGGTTGATGAGTCTACTGATGTTGACAACAGGTGACAATGCTTGTTTTCATGTGATATATTTTTCAGGAGGATGTGCATGAGGATATGTTATGTGCACTTTTGTTGCCAATATCACAGCTGCAGAACTATTCAAGTCTCTGAATGATTACACCTCAGGAACACTGAACTGGTCATTTTGTGTCAATATATGCATGGACAGAGAGGCTGCCAAGACTGGATGGCTTTCTGGTTTCACTACTCTGGCGAAGGAGGTCGCTTCTCAATGTGAGTCTACGCACTGTGTCATCCATACAAAAATGCTGGCTAGCTGAAAAAATGTCACCTGAACTGAACAACATTTTGCAAGATGTGATTAAAATTATTAACTACATTAAAGTACATGCCTTTAACTCACATCTGTTTGGGCAGCTCTGTGAGGAGACAGACGCAGAGCACACATGTCTTCTCTAATGCACAGAAGTGAGATGGCTTTCTAAAGGCAGATCACGGCCAGAGTTGTTGAGTTACGAGAGCCACGCCAGAGATTCCTTTCAGAAAAAGTCACCACTGGTGGCACATTTCAATGACACAGAATGGGTCCCCAAACTTGCTTACTTGTGTGACACATTCAACCTGCTCAATGAACTCTCATCTGTCACTTCAGGGGAGAATGACAACTGTGTTCAAGATGGCAGATAAAGAGGCTGCATTCAAGGCCAAACTGGAATTATGGGGGCAACGAGTGAACACCGGGATTTTTGACATGTTTCAAACATTAGCAGAGATTTTGAAAGAGACTGAACCAGGGCCTTATTTCTCCCAGCTGGTGCATGATCATCTATCTTGGCTTTCGAAAGAGTTTGAGCATTACTTCCCAACCACAAAAGACCCCCAAACTGGGAAGGAACGGATCTGCGACCCATCTGTGAATAAGCCGGGTGAATCGACTTTGTTCATGCTCGCAGAGGATCAACTGCTTGAGATCACAAATGATGGTGGCCTTAGAAGTATGTTTGAGAAAACTTCAAGTCTCCACACGTTCTGGATGAAAGTCAAGGTGGAGTATCCTGAGGTTGCCACAAAAGCACTGAGAAGCCTGCTTCCATTTCCAGCACCCTGTCTTTGTGAAGCAGGGTTTTCTGCGGTGACAGCAATGAAAACGAGACTACGGAGTAGACTGGACATAAGCAACACGCTTGGGGTGTCACCGTCTCCCATCGCCCCCAGATGGGACCTGTCTAGTTGCAGGAAAACAAGCTCAGGGCTCCCACTGGTTCTGCATCATGGTGAGTTGTATAATTACTTCATTATACATTACAATGTAATAATAATAGAAATAAAGTGCACAATCAATGTAACGCGCTTGAATCATCCTGAAACCACCCCCTACCTCGGGTCTGTGAAAAAATTGTCTTCCATGAAACTGGTCCCTGGTGCCAAAAAGGCTAGGGACCGTTACTTTACATCATTAGTTCCTCTCAACTTCCCCTGAGGTGGGAACTGCTATTATTCCTACTTTACAGTTGAGGAAACTGAGGCACAAGGAGGTTGGACACCTTCCTCCCTTCTTCAGGTAAGTAGTCATAGGAGAGCTAGGATCTGAGCCTGGGGGATTAGACTCCAGAGTGTTCTCCTTTTATCCCACTACGTGGTAGGGGTCCCAGATTCCTGCAGGGGCCAGGCAGGTAACTTAAACAGAGAAGGCAGGCTGGGCAGCGGGGACTGTGCAAGTGCAGACCCGGGAGACCACTCCTCAGCCCCAGCTGACAGCACCACATGGGATTGCAGATTCTCTGTTCCTAAGTCTTCTTGTTTTCTGAAAAGATGCCAAAAATCTGGGTTTTTATGTGAAAAGCTCCCAATTTTAAATTTTGGCTCAAGTGGTATTTTAAAACATGGTACAGTACCAACAAAACTCTTCTTGGGATCCCCCAGTGTAACCTCTGTGGGGAATGCCTGTGAGCCAGCTCTAGCGGCAGGGCCCCTCGGGAAGGCTGCGTGCGGTGGTCTGCTGCCAATCCGGCACCAACCTCTGCTGCTTCTCTCCAAAGCCTCCTGGACTTCGCCACACTCCCGGAGTCTAAGGACTTCTTGTACTCTGGACCCTGGGAGAGAAGGAACCTCACGCAGACTCACGCGGTTCCTCTGAGACACCTTTCCCGTGGTTTGAGCCGGGGAAGTTTCAAAGTTTTCCAAACCACTCACAAAATTCCTTCCACCTGTCAGTCACGAGACGCCCTCCCTCTCAGATAATAGCTTCTTTCCTTCACTGGTGTCTCTCCTATGCAAGAGGATTGAGATGACAAGGTGATAATACAGACCAGTCACTAATAAGCTCATTTTTTTTTTCTTAATCCCTAGAAGTGGTGACAGTTTGTCAGGGAACCATTCACCCTCTCCTATGGCCTGATTTAGACACAAGCAAGATGGCTGGAGAGCTGTCTGCTCAACACCAACTTGCTCATGTGGGAGCAGCGTGTGACTCTGGCCTCATAGGCTCAAATGTTCTGCGTGAAATCTAGTCTCCCCCTGGATGAAGGACATGAGAAAAGGTAATGAACATCCAATAACCAGTACTGGTTTGGGGTTTTACCCCTTTGTCCATTGTTTTAACACATAGTCTCTCATTTAATCTTCCCATCAACCCACCCCATTTTACTGATGAGAAAACTGAGGCTCAAATAGGTTGAAGGGGTTTGCCTAAGGTCATATACACAGGCAGAGGGTCCTTACTAGTGTCCATATCCTTTGATGCAATACTTTCTCTTCCAGGAGTTTATATTAAAGGAAATATCAGAGATGGACCCCAAAATTTATGTTTTAGAATGTTCACCACAGTGTTCATTTTAAGAATAAAATAGTGGGCCAGGCATGATGGCTCATGCCTGTAATACCAGCAGCTGGGAGGCCGAGGCAGGAGGATGGCTCGAGCTCAGGAGTTCGAGATCAGCCTGAGCAACATAGCAAGACCCCGTCTCTATTAAAAATAGAAAAATTAGCTGGACTTGGTGGCACATGCCTGTAGTCCCAGCTACTCGGGAGGCTGAGGCAGGAGGATGGCTTGAGCCCAGGAATTTGAGGTTGCTGTGAGCTATAAAGACACCATTGCACTCTACTTGGGGCAACTGAGCAAGACTCTGTTTAAAAAAAAAAGAAAAAAGAATAAAATAGTGGAAATAATGTCCAACCATAGGAGAGTAGCTAAACAAATCAGTAAGGTAAGTCAGTACTGAGGACAATTATGCAGCCATTCAAAATCAATCTACATTTTATTTCCCCTGGAAATATTGAGTAGCTGCTTATTCTCCCGACTCAGCCTCCAGACCAGCTAGGACTACAATCACATGCCACCATGCCTGGATCTTTTTTTTTTTTTAATCTTTGATAGAGATGGGATCTCCTTATGTTGCCCAGGTTCGTCTCAAACTCCTGGCCTCATGTGATCCTCCCACCTTGGCCTTCCAAAGTGCTGGGATTACAGGTGTGAGCCACCATACCCCACCCCAGAAGACATTTTTCTGATAGCTCTACCAATAACCTGGTAAAAACAAAACAGAACAGGCCACTGTTCCCACATCTAATTCACACCAACTGCCATTCTCCCTATACCCCTCCTTCCCGCCTGAGCAGGCAGGACTAAGCATTGAGCTGTAACCTCTGTCCAGAGGGCTCTGTTTTGGGGATTTCAGACCTCTGCATTTAGGAGAGTGCTTCCTTAGTGTGAACCGTAATGTTTTTAAAAAATACCAGGCATGTTTCCATATAGCACTGCGCAGTATAGAAAGTCTCAAATACCCTTTCATTCCGTGAACACTTACATTAAGTGCCTGTTCTGTGCCAGGCACACGGGAGACCTTGGGAAGACAAAGATGAATGAGACAGCCTCTGCCTTCATTGGCGACACAACTTGAAGGACAGCCCTCGTGGAAGAGATCCAGCAAACACAGAAAAATCATTTCATTTTACCCCTCTCCATGGGATCTCTTCCAATTTCCCTGAATCTAGTGTCCAACAGAGCAGAGGACCTGGGGTTGAGTCCCAGCCCTACCACTTACTGGCTGTGGGACCTTGAGTTCCTCCCTGAGTTTTTGGCTTTCTCATCTGTAAAATGGGGACCCAAATTACACTTACTTTATGAGACTGTTGGGAGAATTCAATGGGATAACGCATGAAAGTATTTTCTCAACATACGAAGACCTTATTTCCTTAGTCATTCGTTATCGGTGTGTTCACGGTTCTCTGGCTTAGCAAGCGTCATCAGGCAAATGACATGTCAAGCCATACTAGTGTTAGTTCATTCGCTGTCCCCTCCCACAAAACATGGGCATTTTAAAAGACATGGGGGAAGGCCTCCCAGAGACAGGCATGTGAACCCCCCGATAGACTAGCAGTGGAGAAAAAGTTCTTCTGGACAAGTCAGACCTGTGTGTATTTTTTAAATCTTACTCTGCCAAGGGTCCCCTACCCCACAAGAGGAGAGGGTGGCTTTGCTCTCTCAGTCCTGAGGTCACTAATATCCCAGACTGTGATACGGCCCTCCCCACCCCACTCCTCACCTTGGGCAGGTCCGTGGCCCCACGGATCCGTTGCGCCACCTTCTCTCCATCGGGGTGGATCTTGGCCACGTGCTTCCACATCCTTTCCCAGGTAGCCTCATCCACAGGCAGCCCATCCCGGTTGACAAAGAAGGGGATGCCTCCGTCGCGAAGGTCCTCTTCCCCTTCCTCCTCTGGATCCTCCTCTTTCTGGGCTGAGGCCCCTTCGCTGGTCTCCAAACGTTTGACCCCAGAGGGGGCGGCGGCGGCAGCGGGGGCAGCACCACTGCCGCCACCTCCGATCACCTTCTTCCCCGCTGGCATCCCTAAATTCTTGAGGCAGGTGGGAGGATGTCTCAGGAGCCGGGAAAACAGGTGGCTCACAGGAGGCTTCCCGCACACCAGCTGCAGAGATAACACATGGCCAGAGTGCAAGGCGCCTTTAAGAAACCAGGGCGTGGCTCCTGTACAATAAAATACTACTCAATGAGAAAAAAAAATCAGTGCAACGACGTGAAGTAGGGGCCAAGAGGGTTGTCCGAGGTCAGCATTAGAGGCCTTGTTCTGTTTGAAAAACGGGGTAAAGAGAACACACCCCAACTTGGCAGCCTTCACAAAGCACCCCCATTTGACAAGAACAATGCCGAGCAGCAGCCTGGGCTGGCAAAGAGGAGAAAAATCGGAGGGAAACTGAGGCCAGACAGCTCAGACCTGCGGCCGCAGAAAGGAAGGCTCAAGGCACGGGTGCCCACCGGGCGCCCCGGGTCCCAGTTTTGGAGACAACAAATTCCTCTACAAAACCCCTGCACGCTCACACCTGCGCGCGCCCCAGGGGGTACCAAGGCGACTCCCGGACGGGGAGCTCAGAACCGGCACCCCTGGGCGGGAGAGTGGCGCTGGGGGGCGATTTCTCCGACGCGACGGGACAAGTCCGGGAGCCAAGACTCGCAGCTGGCGGGGCACGGGGAGGGGGCGCGCGCCGACGCGCACATTCCACGCCCGCGGCCAACTCCCTGCACAAAGTGGGCTTTGTCTGGGCCCCCTGTCCCCTCGCCCCTCGGAAGCGGCAGCGGCTCCCCCAGAAGGGGAAAGGGCGCGGCAGGGAGGCGAAGGCTGGGAGCGCCAAGGCCCAGCCGGGCGCGTCTCAGCGGGCAGACGGCGGGCACCTGGCGCCGCGCTGCGCCAGCCCAGCCATCGCGGGGCACGGGTCCCGCGCCAGGGCCCAGGGCTCAGCGAGACCGGCTCGAGCGGCGCGCAGGGCCCAGGCTGAGGTCACCGAGCGGCGGGCTCCGGCCGCGCGGTCGCTGCCCCGGACTGGCTGCAGCATGGGCGGTGGCGCGGCCGCGGCGGGCGAAGGATGCTCGCTGGCTGTTCGCTCGGGCTCCCGCTGCCCCCGTTAAGGGGCGGAGGAAGGACCGCGGGGCGGGGACCGCAAGCTCCGAGGCTCGAGCAGCCACGGCCCGCGGATGTAGCTGGAGGCGAGTGACAAAGCCGGGGCGAGCACCGGCTGCGCTGGCCCCCCGGGAGCAGCTTGCAAACGCGGAGCCCACGACCAGATCGCGGTTCCGCGGCTCGGCGAAGCTGGTGCCGCCGCCGCTGCCCACGCCGCCCCAGGGTCCAGCTGTCGCCGACCGCGTCCCCTGCCCGCCCGCCGCCCACCAGGCTCGACTCCGGCCCGCGCCGCGCATGCGCTTCGTCCCCCCCTTAAAGGGCCAGCGCCTAACCGCCTGGTCCTCCGCCTCCTGCATCCATCCCTCTGCCCCAAGTTATCTCAGGGATGCAAGTGGGCATTCGCTCTTTTCTCACCTCGCTCTCAGGGCGCCGCGAAGCCGGTGCGGACCTGCGGAGAGGAGGGACTTTACAATGTGTCAAACAGAGCGCAAAGTCCACGGGGATTCCGGGCGCGGAAGGAACTTCTGCGGCTGGGAATTTCCTAAAGCGGGTACCTCGCAGCGGCACTCAGCGCGTAGGCGCGAGAGCACTGGCTTGGAGACTGGGACTCAGTGACTTCTGCTGTGGAACGTTCAACAGATCACTTCTCTCTGTAGGCTTCAGTTTCCCCATCTATCAGCTGAGGAGGTCGCTTTGGGTGAGCGCAGAGTCCCTCCCGGCGCGCATGTTCCTTAAGGGAGGACTTCTAGGGGTTGGAGGTCACTAGTTCTGGAAACAAAAGAGTTAAAAGTCACTTTATTCTATTCCATCACCTGCACCGGTGGCAGTGGGGTACGCAGAGTTCGCGCCTAGTCCACCTCCCTGGACCCGCTTTGGACACGGCGGTCCCCTAAGACCGGGAGGGAGAGGTGCTGCTCCCCAGGGTCGTGGGACCGCGACATGGGAATGGGAAGCGGTGAGTGAGGAGATTTAGCCGGCCCAGAGGAAGGTGAAAGTACAGCAGATTGTCGTGCGTGGCCGCTGGACTTTGGCGACTCAACGTCCCCTCCCCCTCCCCCGTTCCACAGAGCTGTAACACTGGGAAAAGGCACCAACGCTGGCAGAAGCGAAGAACTTCACTGAACGTCAAAGGCCAAGTGTGTCTTTACGACTCTTCCCCTCTCCCCTACTGGTAGTTAATACGAATAACAGTCTCTCGCAGGGAAAATGCAGATTCCTGGGCCCAAGCCGGCAGATTTTTTTAGGTCTGGGGTCACTGCATTTCTGGACAAGCTGAGGTTTCTAGCCCAGGGCTGGGCTGGAAAAGGCCTTAGAGGAACTCAGGTCCTCAGTGGTTCCCCATCTGTTCTTTAATGTTGTCCCTGGTATCTAAAATTTCTAGCTCTCCTGGGCTCCAGTAGCGACCTCTTACTGCCTGCAGGGTCAGAAACCAAGGGTGGAGTGATGAGGGGACGAGGAAATCACAGAGATCTAGGAAAGTTAGTTGCCGGGATCCTCTTGAGCTCACTGAGGCAAGAAGACTCCAAGCATGTCAAAGTCACTAGGGACCAACAACTGCCACCTTCTTTTGTATTAATGGGGAAACCAAGTCTCAGAGAGTAAGTAGCTTCCCCACGTTCACACAGCTGGTAAGTGGCAGAGCTAGAATTTGAACTGAAGTCTTACTTCTTCAGACACTTAGTTTTCACCCTATACTTTGCCTCTCATGTTAGCCAAGTGGTTGTAGTGGTTTTAAAATATGCTTGCAAGTTCTTTTACCACTCCTTTCAAAAGATGGAATCTTATGAGACTTAGTGACTCATTGCTAATGAATAGAATGGGGTAGAAGTGATGCTATGTGAATCTTAAGAGCAGGTCATGCAAAGGAGACGGCTTTCTCTCTGTTTCTCAGAAAAAACCAGCCACCATATTGTGAGGGAGCCCAAGCCATAGGGTGAGGCCACATGAAGTTGTCGGGCTGACATCTGCTGCTATACTCCCAGCCAACAGCCCTAATGAAACACCAAGTGGGTGGTAAACTGAGACTTCACATCATTCCAGCCTCCAGCTTTTGAGTTGTAGAGTTGCAGTTCCAGACATGGAGCAGAGAAAAGCCAGTCTTGCTGTGTGCCCTGTCTGAATTCCTCTTCTACAGAAATGGAGAAATAATAAATGGTCATTGTTGTTTTAAGCTAGTAAGTTCTGGGGTGATTTGTTATGCAGCGTTAGATAACTAATACTGTGGATTTCCTGAAATGACAAATAACAAAGTAGATTTGGGGTATTCATTCAAACATTCAAACAGAAAGTACTTACTGAGCACCTCCTATGTGTCTGGCTCTGTACCAGGCACTGGGGATGTAGTGTGAACAAAAGGGGTGTGGCCTTCGCCTAGTAGGCCTAATGGTCTGTTAGTGGAGGAGACTTTTAAACATGATTCCCATAAAGTGCTCTGCCAGAGGGTTAGTTAACAGGAAGCTGTGGGAGTGCGTACCCAGGGCAACTTCCTGGTGAGGAGGGGAGTTGGGAAAAGAGGAAGTGAGTTGGGTACCAGGGCCGGCTTGTTTTGGGTTGGGGATTTTTTTGCCTTTTTGTATAGGTGTGGGGGGGTATGTGTGTGGGGCGGGGGGGTGTGCGTGTGTTTTAGAATGTTGTGTCTCCTCTTCTCTTTTTGGCCAAATTCCCGGGGGGGCCAGGGTTTTTGCTTGGCTTGGCTGGGTTTTTGACCTTGGCTTGGTTCTTGGTTCTTTCTTGAACCCTTCCCTTACTTCCCTGCCCCCCTTGCCTTGGGACCACTTCTTTTACCGGCACATGGGGAACTCCTTATTTGGCTTAAAGCTTTTATGACCATTATCTCTTTTGCTCTCTTCACAGAAACTCTGGAAGAAGTTAGGGAGTGTGATTCCCATTTTACAGATGAAGAAATGATGCACGAGAGAAGCTAGGAAAATTATATACCTAGTGCCGGAGCTGGCACAGCAAGAGTTGCTGGGTATAAGTGACTCTGATGATGACAGGGATGATGATAATGATGTGTAGCGCACATCATACATCACTGTTATTGTCGGCATACTCTGGACTAATGGTCTGGAAATGAATACACATTGTCTCAGGGCATCCACACGTTTATTAATCTGCTCTGACTCATTTTCTGTTCTTGTGACACTGAAGCTGGACTCAGATTCCCAGAGAGAGTCTAGTTGAGTTAGCTTGGTGGGCTCCTGGGCCCACTCGTTGGCTGGAGGAGGGCGGGGCAACTTCACTAGCTGCCCCACCAAGACTGCAAGTGGTGCGGGCAAGGGGGTGCCCTAAAGGTAAATGAGGTGCTATTATTAAGAGAAGGGCACGAAGGCACACAGGTATAGATGTGTTTATAACAGGTAGACGCGCTATGCCTGCGCTGTCCGGTGTGGTGGCCAGAAGTTGTATGTGGCTATTTAAATTTGAATTTAATTAACATGAGATAGAATTAAAAGTTCAGTTTCTCAGTAACACTAGCCATATTTCCAGTACTTAAGAGTCACCTATAGCCCATGGCTACTGTAATGAACGGCACAGGTGATAGAACATTTCCATCACTGCAGAAATTTCTACAGGACAGCACTGCTTTATGATTCTTACTTAGGATTCAACTCTTTTTCTTTTGTTCTTTTACCTCATAAATTATGAACATGGAAACAACAAAGAAGGTAAGTCAGAATCTTCATTCATTTATTCAACAAACATATTCTAAGTGTCTATTCTGAATTATCCGTGGTTGTGGGCACCGGCGATACCGGGGAGGAACCTTGGAGAGTTTCTGGTCCAGTGGATCCACATTAGGATCACCCAGGAGCTCTTAAAACGATTGGTACCTGCATCACCCTCTAGAGATTCTTACGAAATTGGTGTATGGAGCTCGGTACCCGTAGGTTAGAGAAGCTCCCAGGTGATGCTAATATGTAGCTGGGTTTGAGAACCGCTGACATCTGGTCTGACAGGTGAAGTGAATTTCTTCAGATAACCTGAAAACCTGAATCTGCAAGGGTCTGACTTCCACTCCTGGGGTTCTTACAAAGTTAGAGTTTTGAATGGATTTGGCATCTGTCTGAATTGGATGCACCCTTCTTAGAGGAGAACAAGTCTATTCTTCCTTAATCCAAACGGAATCCAATTCATTTCAAATAAAGTGCCAAAAGAACTTTTGGTTTGGGGTTTATTTCAAATCATTTCTTTCTCAAACTGTTCTTGTGTTTCTGTGCCTGGACCTGCATTGTTCAGCCAAGTGGGTGAAATTCCTGTAAAAATAGCTCCCCTTTACTGGGCACCTGGTGTAGGTCAGGTGCTTCACATGCAGTTTCATTTACTCCCCAGGACAGTCTTGTAACTTAGGTATTGCTCACACCAGTTTACAGATGAGCAAACTGAGATTCAGGGACGTTAAGGATTACAACCTGGCCTACTCAGTACAGCTGGGAGTCTAACCCCAGCGCATGCTCTTTCCCTACCCCACCCTGCAGCTACCCCATCGCGGAGAGTGCAGGGCGGCTGGCAGACGGCAGCTTTCTGCTCTGGCTCCACATAGGAAGGAAAGCTCTGTGCAGGTGAGATGCAGCCCTTACTTTGTGTGGTAGTGGAAGCTCCAGAACTGATATGATCCGGACAATTGTTACCTGCGCTCAATGACAGTACTGGGAGCCTGGAGGGAAGGGGGATTTGCGGATAAGACAGGTGAGCGGTTTTGGAGTGGAGTCCTTGTAGCTGATGGCTGTGTCTGGATTCTTCTTACTAAGGGATTTGGAGGAAGCAGCTAAGAGCAGTGTTGTACCTGGAGCTGTTAGCTCTTCGACACCTAGCAATCATGGTGCATGCTTAATATAAGCATCATCTGTTCTTGGCCTGGACTCCTGTGGTCTGGCAGAGTGTCTGTGTCGCCATGTATCTTTGTAATCTGAGTCCCTGCCTGATACTTCCTGGGCAGCCCGGCCTGGCCTCTGGGGACTCAGAAGGGCCAGGACTCATTGCGTCTATTCCAAAGGACTCTAACAGACAGATCTCACCCTTGCCATTCTCCAGGGGCCACCTCGTACAGTAGTAGGAGATCCAGGCCTTGGTGAGCAGCAAAAGCTGGACGTAGAATGGATCAGGGCTTGTCTGTGTGGCATTCAGCAGGTCTATGTGGGAGCAAAGCACAACTGGTCACAGAGAGTGCAGAGTATTACAGCTAGAAAGACCCTTACAGATCTTCTTTCCAGCTTCCATTTCACAGATGGGAAACTAAGGCTCAGGGAGGTGACAGGACTTAGGATTACACCGCCAGTTAGTGTTAGGGCTCACACTTGAACTCAGGTCTCCCCTCATTCCTGGCTCAGTCTGCCTTCCCTGATGGGTTCCCTAGCAGGGGAGAAACTGATCGTAGGTGAGCGATTAAAAGCATTGCAGTGTCAAGGGCTAGAGAAGGTCTTCCCACATTTGCTGCAGGG